GTCTGAGCCCCCCCCTCCCCCCCTTATTTCCCGTCACCGCCCCCCCACCCTGTTTGCTCTCTAGTACCATGAGTAGGGTGACGGTGTCATTGATTTTCCCAAGTTTGGCTAAAGGAGCGGGGTGCCTTTTAAATACACCAAATGGAAACTCCTGGGAAAATGAGTCACCCTTGTGTCAGCAGCAGCATTGCTGTTGAAACTGCAGGGCTGAAGATCCCAATGTGACTAAGATCCCAGGACTCCTGGGGGAGACCGGAAACCCTGGGGTTTCCCTCGAAAGGCTGGTTTCCTAAGCAGGGCCCACTAGCAAATGAGACAAAAAAACCGTCCTGGTCCCCAGAGCGCAGCCCCGCCGCAGGCCCACCCCCCTCAGCGGGGAGCTCTGCCCGCACACACCCCTCCTCCTCCCACAGACTCTGCCCCTTGTAGTCATTCCTGGCAACCACCTGCCCCCCACCCTATTTCACCTCCAGGCTCAGGACTCGCTGCGCCCCTTCCCACCCGGGCTCTCCACAGAGCACAGATTTCCGTGGAGGACACAGAGAGGAGGCAGCGCGGCCGCCGAGGACCCGTCGTGCCGGGAAGGCAGGTCCCCGGAGCGCGCCCACGCGGGGCCAGGGCGGGCGGGACCCTGGCCTGCAGGACGCGGGCGGGCACGGCCCCAGCGGCAACGCGCGTGGGCGAGCCGTGATTGCAGCCGGTGCCCGGGCCACGGCACTTGGCAGTTTATAGCGCTTCACGCCCCTAATCTCATTGGAGCCTCTGCCACAGCCCTGCCCATGGCCGCCGGTGGCCCTGTTCCCGCATGCAACCCCGAGGCTCGGACCTGGAAGAGCCCTGGGAGCGCGCCGCAGCCGCAGCGTAGGGGCTAGAGCCGGACCCTGGGCGGCGGGGCGGGGTCCCGGGCTCCTCCCCCGACCCTTCCTCCTCTCCACCGCCCCCAGGCGCCGGCCACAGCGCGAGCCGCGCCGCGTCCGCAGAGCCCCTGCGCCCCGCGCCCCCGCCTCCGCCGCGCACCTCGAGGACGCAGGGTCCCGGCCCCGCGCTGGCCGCGCTGCTGCGGGTAAGTGCCGAGTGCGGACTGGGGGCTGGGTGCGGGGGGGGGGGGGGGGGGAGGCGTCTCCCAGGGACGCTGGGCGCTCCGTGGCGACGGCCGACGGCGGGCTGAGTTGGATCCCGGCCGGCCCGCGAGGATCCGGGGGCTGAGGATGGGGGTGCTGAGGATGGGGGGGCTGAGGATGGGGGGGCTGAGGACACGGGACATGGGGATTTTGTGATGATGGAGGGACCTCTCCACTGCCTTCTCTCCCCTCGATTCTGGGCGGGAGTGGGGGTTCCAGCTGCTGGAGGGTTCCCGGACGCCCCGTCCGCAAACTCCCCAAGTGCCCGCAATGGCAGGGAACGTGTAGGAGAAGGGTCGCTGGAGGGAGGACGTGTAGGATTTTGGATTTTGGGAATCCGCGAAAGCCAAGTTCTACGCGGACTTGCGACAGCCCCTGTCACTCAAATGCAGTCCTATTGGGGAGAGGGGGGGAGAAATGTGGGCGCTGCTCAGCCAGGAGCTGGGAAAGCGGACGGCAGGAGCTGTTATTGGGGGGCCGCGGCGGTGCGGAACCAGACCGGCTCCGCCAGTTCCAGGGAAATTGGAGGGAAATTCTTTGCTGTTGAGTCGCTCCCCGGGGTGTGTCTGGCAGGACTGGGCAGACGGGTCCGGGGTGGAGCCCGGGAGGGGGCTGCAGGGGTGGCTGCCCCGGGAGGAGGGTCGGCGGGAGCACGTGGCAGGACCCTCTGCTCGCGGGGCTGCGGACACGCCATCTGGAACCTCCAGCAGGTGAGTGGCAGGGTGGGAGGGCTGGCTCAGGGTTCTGATAACAGCTCCAGACAGTGGGATTTGGTTCCCTTTGGAGAGAAAGACGTGGAGTCAGGGGATCTGGGAATGCTTGGAAGTAGGTGCCAACTGAGGTTTGAATGCAGACGTGGCTCCACTTTCCCTGCTTTCCCATGCATTTCCACTTTTCCATGCACATTCCACTGTCTCCCCCCCCCCCCCCCAAAGGCCAGTCTCAGAGGGAGCAGAGGAGAGTGTCCCGGACGGGGTCTTGTCCGGGATTCTCAGAGAAGAGGCATGGATGGGCCAAGGTGCTGAGAAGGAGCTGCTTTCTCCCAGTGAAAGCAGGTCCCCCCCCCCCAGGCTACCTAGTCCTCACGACCCCTCCCTCCACGCTAACTCTGCAAACATTCATTTGTTTATTCATTCAACATGCATTGAGTACCCACACTATGCCAAGCTCTAGACACAAAGTAGTAAGCAAGACGGGTTGGCATTCTAGTGGGGGGGACAGACAATAAATAAAAACAAATAAACAAATACTTCCATTTCACCCTGGCCAGGTTGGTTCAGTAGTTAGAGCGTCAACCTGCAGACCTAAAAGTTGCAGGTTCGATTCCCAGTCAAGGGCATAGACCTGGGTTTTGGGTTCCATCCCCAGTCAGGGCGGAAGCAACCAATTGATGTGTATCTCTCAAATCAATGTTTCTCTCTCTTTTTCTCCCTCCCACTCTCTCTAAAAAAGAAAAAAAATCAATAAAAAAATATCCTCAGGTGAGGATTAACAAAAAATAAAACCTTTAAAAGACCTACCCACAGAATTTTCCGCCCCAAAAAAAGCCCTCCTAGAGTCCTTTAAAATCTCTGACTCCCCACCCCTGGGTGCTGGCACCATTTGGGGATCAGCTCATCTGATTTTCCAGATGACCTAATAAATTCATAATTCTTAAAAAATAAAACTTTAATTTCTAATAGTGATTAAATGCTGTTAAGATAATAAAGGAGTCCTAGCTGGTTTGGCTCAGTGGATAGAGTGTCAGCCTGTGGACTGAAGGATTCCAGGTTCCGGTCAAGGGCACAAGCAGGAGGCAGCCGATCAGTGATTCTCTACCATCATTGACGTTTCTGTCTCTCTCCCTCTCCCTTCCACTCTGAAATCAACAAAAATATGTTTTTTTAAAAGAGAGAGAGAGAAATGGTACGGGAGCAGAGTGACTGGAAGGGGATGGGCTCTCAGATTTGGGGTTATCAGGGAGGCCTCTTAAGCAGCAATTTCAGCTAGTGTGTGCGGTGGGCACACTGGTGTGCCGCAAGAATTTTTAAGTATATTTTTATTGATATCAGAGAAGAAGGAGAGAAAGAGACAGATAGAAACATCAATGATGAAAAGGAATCATTGATCGGCTGCCTCCTGCACACTCCCTACTGGGGATGAAGCCTGAAACCTGGGCATTTGCCTTTACTGGGAATCGAACCCTGGCCTTCTGGTTCATGGCTCAATACTCAACCATTGAGCTACACCAGTTGGGCTGCAAGAAATTTTTAAAACATGCAATAGCTGCCGGGACCGGTTTGGCTCAGTGGATAGAGCGTCGGCCTGCGGACTGAAAGGTCCCAGGTTCGATTCCGGTCAAGGGCACGTACCTTGGTTGTGGGCACATCCTCAGTAAGGGGTGTGCAAGAGGCGGCTGATAGATGATTCTCTTTCATCAATGTTTCTAACTCTCTATCCCTCTCTCTTCCTCTCTGTAAAAAATCAATAAAATATATATATTTTTTAAAAATGCAATAGCTGATATTTAGTCAGGGGCACTGACCTCTTTCCCCTTAGATTGTAAAAATGACCACGGCCAACACAACAATAGCTGTCCAGTGTGAATAAATCAAAATTATACCTTTTTTTTTTTTTTTATCAAATGGGCTGCAGAATTTTAGTAATTAGTTTATGTGTGCCATGAGATGAAAAAGGTTGAAAATCGCTGCTCTAAGGAATGGGAAGGATCCAGCCAGATCTGGAGAAAGAGCATTTCAGGCAGCAGGGAAAATACCAAAGCCTCCAAGGTCCCCAGAGCGGCGGGAGCAGACAGGCAGGATGGGGCGTGCAGGAGAGAAGGGGGAGGAGGTAGAATCTGGGGGCAGTTCTAAGTGTAACGAGAAGTTAAACAAGGGAGCGGCATGACCCAATTTAATGGATCTCAGAGTGCAGGAGCAGACACTGAGAGGCCAGTAAGGAAGCTGTGGCCAGAACACCAGCAAGAGTTGATGGCGGCTGGACCAGGGAGGTGGCGGTAGGGAGGGAGAAGCAGCTGTGCAGGGCGGGGGGGGGGGGGGGGGGGGGCGGCCAAGGGGGCCCCGACAGGCATCGCGCATGCGCAGAGTCACATACACCGCTCCAGGAGCACTTGTACGTGTGTGCAGACCATACACACACGTGGAGTCACACCCATGGCAACGCGCAGACACTAGATACACTTAGACAGACCCACCCATCCACACCCTCTGAGTCACTCCAGGACTGAGTGGGAAAAGTGTGATCTGGAGGCCTGAACAAAACATGCTTCCACACACTCAGCATGGCTGGGGTGACCTGGAGGCCTGAACAAAGCCCTGGAGCCCAGCGTGGCTGATGGCTGGGGCTTCCCCCGGGCCTGGCACAGGGAGCAGGCAGTTCTAGCTCCATCATCTCTGGATCTCTTGTTCCCCAGAGGTAGGCCATTACCCCTCTTCACACACACACACGACACCCCAACTTGAATTGGTCTCCCAGCTTTACCACCTACTGGCTGTGAGACTTTGGGGAGTTAGTTCCCCTCCCCCAGCCTCAGTTTCCTCTCTGTAGAGTAAGATTCAGCCCCAACTTCACAGGATGGTAGCGAGGCTTCAACGAGGTAAGTTGTAAGAACCTGGTCTAAAATGGGGCTTAGGTCACTCAGCACACGCTGATGGGTGGTTTCATGTAAGGCCTATGATTAGGGACCTAGGGACTTAGGAATCGGGGGCTTAGGATATTTGGCAGGTGCTCATTGGTGGTCCAGTGCTCAGGAATGTCTGGCTGCAGGTGGAGTTTATGTCCGTCCAGCAATTGGAGGAAGGGAGAATCTATCCATGAACATATGGTCTTCCCTGCTATCCCATCAGGTGTGCACGGCCCCCAGCGCCCCTACCAGACACCATGGACTGGAAGACGCTCCAGTCCCTACTGAGCGGCGTGAACAAGTACTCCACGGCCTTCGGGCGCATCTGGCTGTCGGTGGTGTTCGTCTTCCGGGTGCTGGTGTACGTGGTGGCGGCGGAGCGCGTGTGGGGGGATGAGCAGAAGGACTTTGACTGCAACACCAAGCAGCCGGGCTGCACCAACGTGTGCTACGACACCTACTTCCCCATCTCCAACATCCGCCTCTGGGCCCTGCAGCTCATCTTCGTCACCTGCCCCTCGCTGCTGGTCATCCTGCACGTGGCCTACCGCGAGGAGCGGGAGCGGCGGCACCGCCTCAAGCACGGGGACCAGTGCGCCAAGCTGTACGACAACGCGGGCAAGAAGCACGGCGGCCTGTGGTGGACCTACCTGCTGAGCCTCGTCTTCAAGCTCACCATCGAGTTCGTCTTCCTCTACGTGCTGCACACACTCTGGTACGGCTTCAGCATGCCGCGCCTGGTGCAGTGCGCCAACGTGGCGCCCTGCCCCAACACCGTGGACTGCTACATCGCCCGGCCCACCGAGAAGAAGGTCTTCACCTACTTCATGGTGGGCGCCTCGGCCGTCTGCATCGTGCTCACCATCAGCGAGATCTGCTACCTCATCTTCCACAGGGTCATCCGAGGCATCCGCAGCAAGAGGCCCCCGGGCAGCCGCAAGCCCTCAGCCAGCCGGGCCTCCACCTGCCGCTGCCACCACAAGCTGGTGGAGGGCGGGGAGTTCGCCCTGGACACCCACAACGACAAGCCGCATGCTTCAGCGCCCACGCTGACCCCCATCTGACTCCCATCTGACCTCGGGCTGGGGAGCGATGCCTGGCCTGCCAACGGGGACAGGCGGGGAGGCGTCGCGCCGGTGGAGGGGTCCTACGGGTGCTGGGTGCCCCACTTGGAGTTCACCGAGCTGTCCAGTTGCACGGGGGGCAGATGCTTTTCGAGCGCTGGGCACTGTGCTGAATGCTTGGGTGTAGGTCACACCGCAGGCCCAGTGCCATCCCGTAGGCAAAACCAACATTGAAACGAGCAGATTAACTACCGAGCAAGGGGATGCTTAGGGCGCTTATAGCCAGGCTTATACCCAACCCAGGAGGGAGCGAGCAGGCGAGACTTTCCTGAGGAAACCAAGTTTAAGAGGTAAGCCGAAACTGGTCTGGCTCGGTGGATAGAGCGTCGGTCTGTGGATTGAAAGGTCCCAGGTTCGATTTCAGTCAAGGGCATATACATTGGCTGCAGGCATATCCCCGGTAGGGGGTGTGCAGGAGGCAGCTGGTGGATGTTTCTCTCTCCTCGATGTTTCTAGCTCTCTATCTCTCTCCCTTCCTCTCTGTAAAAAAAAAATCAATAAAATATATATTTTAAAAAAAGAGAGAGAGAGAGGTGAGAAGTGCTTCCATGCAGAGAGAAGGGCAGGCACGGGGGCCTGGAGGCTACAGGAGGAGAGATGCTGGCCCTGGGCTGGATGTACCAGACCAAAAAGGACACTCTGCCCTTCAGAGAAGCACTCAGTCCCTGCACTGCAGAGAGAGAATTCCACATCAGTGGGAGGTCAGGAAGCCTGAGGTTTCTTGGGAAGAGGAGGAGGAGGCTCTGGTGATACCAACCTCTCCTGGTGACACCCCGGGGTCCTCTGAGTCCCACTGCTCTCAGGGCAGGTCCCCCTCCCCAGACTCCACTCTCCCAGTCTCAGGAAGCTTCGCTCTCATCTTCCTCCCTGCAAATGTGCTCAATCTGGTGCCAGCCTTTCAGACCCTGCTTCGTGGGATGTGAAATGGATGTCCTAATAGGAACATCCCTATGGCAGTGTCCTTGAGAACCAATAAAGGCTGTGTTTTGTACAGGCTGGCTCCATCCTCTGTTCTTCTACACTCCCACCCACAGGGCCCTGAGGGCAGGAGAGGTAGTAGCCCTGGGAAGGAGAGAGAGCTCCATGGATGGGGTGAAGCTAGACTGTGGGCTGAAGTTCGACTGGGGCTGGGATTGACCTGTGGGATCTGGGGTGGAACCTACTGTGGTTGGAGATATGGCCACAAGAGGGCGCTATGCTCCCGCTACAGCCGTTCTAGTGATCTTACAGGGAGGCAGTCCTAAGCGCACACAATCACTGCCTTCTCATTGTAGACAAATCACAGTCCCTCCTCTGTGACCCAGGCACTGCCATCCACAACCGCAACCCCACCCTGTGTACACAAAATCCCTGTTAGTCATACTCTCACTCCTTATGCATATATGCTCCCAGCAGGCCAGTTGTCTCCCCTACAGGCATGTGTTCCCTGCCTCACCCAAACGTTATTCAGCCCTTTTCATTTTCCTGAGCATTTTCTCCACTCCGGGCCCGTGGCAGGATGCTGGGACTGCAGAGGGGGTAGGACCTGAGCCCAAGGAGCTCAGAGCCTGGGGGAGAGAGAAACAAACTCTTCTGCACTAAGAGCCTTCTGGGGGAGCTCAGCCCCTCTCCCAGCACTGTGTGAGGACCTGAAACTTAGGGGACACCAACACCAAGGCCAGACCAGGATGGGAAGCGGAAGAGGCACAACGGCTATCCTGGCCTCGAAGAACATGTGGTGACTATTAAAGCCAAGACCAGGAGCCAGAAATCCAGGAGGCAGCCCAGGGCCAATGCAGGCGGGGAGAGGTTGGATCATCGTGCAGACACGGTGGCTGTGATTCATATTTGCTCTCAAGTGCAGCCATTCGTGAGATGGATAAGCCAGCCAAGTTTACGGTCCCTGGGCAGGGCTGGCATCCACCCTCCAGGTCTGAATCATGGCTTAACCACTTCCGGATCCCAGCTTCACCATGCTACGCCTTGGCAAGCTTTCAGAATCTCTGTCTTGTCTCCAATACAATGGGAACCGTATCCATCAGGGTCCTGGCGGGAACCAGAGGACACAGTCAAATCAAATAATGTCAGTGAGTTTCCCAGAGGGGCTGTTATAAAAGGTATGGGCATGAGTCAGGAAACCCATGAAGGGTAATTTCCGTATGCTGGGGCTAGTGCCAGAGTAGCAATGGACAGGGTTGCCACACAGGTGCTGCATCCAATCAAATAAATAGTCCAACTTCACTCTCCCATCCCCTGCTCACCTGCCCAACTGACCCAACCCAACCAGAAGCCAGAGATCCAGGGGGCAGTGAGCCTCCCGGGGCACAAGGCAGGGTGGAGAAGGGGGAAGAGTAGATCAAAGGGAACATATTCATGCCAGCACTCAGGACATACCTAGGATTGTTGTAGAGGTAAAAAGAGACACTGCAGGTAAGGCATTAGTACAGAGCTAACAGCATAGCCAGTAACTATCCAAGTACATCCATGCTCAAGAAAGTCTCTGCCTGATCCCCAGGCCACATGGGACCTCAGCCCCAGCTTGGATTGGATGTTAGCAAAGGTCTTAGGGAGAAGGGATCTTCACCTATCTGCCACCATGCACTCCAGCATCTTCCAGGACATGCTGGCTGCCTGGCCAAGGATGGCTTAGAAATCAGAATGGACTGAGCTTCCAGCCCAACCCTGCTTCTCCAGGCTGCAGTCCAGGTCCATGGATGAGGGACATTCCAGTCCTGGACATCCTGCCTTAAGGCCTGGGAGCTATTTTGAGCTTCACAGCTTACTGTTCTCATCCAGTATGTGTTGGGCTAATGTTCATTACCCAGAGTCCCCCAGTGCACATCACTATCACCAGAAGATAGCTCTCATGTCCCCTTGGCTTTCTCTGCTCAGGGTACACACCTCTGTTTCTTCCTCCCTCGATAGCATGAGCTTCCTTCAATTGTGCATCTGATAGATTTCAATTTTATATACACAGCCTTCAAGTCCACATCTACTGAATGAGGAAACAGCCACCCTGCAGCCGAGGTAAATGGGAGATTACTTTGTATTCATCACCCTGGTCCAAGTCCCATTATGGACTGAATGTCTGCATTTTCTCAAAATTCCTATGTTGAAATCCTATCCCCCAGTGTGATGGCATTAGGAGGTAGCACCTTTGGGAGGTGACTAGGTCATGAGGATGGAGCTCTCACGAATGGGATTAGTGCCCTTATAAGAAGAGACAAGAGAAGGATAAGGACAGGTTGAGAAGGCATCCCTGTGCAAACCAGGAAGAGGGCAGTCTCCGAGAACCTAACCACGCAGGCTCCCTGATCTCACTCCAGCCTCCAGGACAGTGAGCAGTGTATTTCTCTTGGTTAAGCCCCCCAGTCTATACTATTCTGCTATAGCGGCCTGAGCTGACTAGGACCTCCTCATCAGCTCTCACCTGGATTACGGCAACAGTCTCCCTCCTGCAGCCCCTGACCCTGGAAAGCAGACACTGGGGAAGGGTTAAGAGTGCAAAGGGTGTTCTGAGGTTAAATACCCGTGAATGATAAGGGGAGGAAGTATGCCGAGACCGGTTTGGCTCAGTGGATAGAGCATCGGTCTGCGGACTGAAAGGTCCCGGGTTCGATTCCGGTCAAGGGCATGTACATTGGTTGCGGGCACATCCCCAGTAGGGGGTGTGCAAGAGGCAGCTGGTCGATGTTTCTCTCTCATCGACGTTTCTAGCTCTCTATCTCTCTCCCTTCCTCTCTGTAAAAAATCAATAAAATATATTTTTTTAAAAAAGAAAGAAAGAAAGAAAGAAAGAAAGAAAGAAAGAAAGAAAGAAAGAAAGAAAGAAAGAAAGAAAGAAAAGGGGAGGAAGTAGATTGAGCAACAAGACCTGTGGCAGGGAGCTCTCTATCCGGAAACAAAGATTGTCTATCAGAGGACACCGCATTGGGTGGCAGGGGTTGGCTCACTCATCGCCTGGGGCCATCCCACACAGAACTGGCCACCTGGACAGCTGAAGCAGACCTGAAAGTACTAACGCTAGAGGCTGACCAGAATCCCCAGTTAGACAGCAAGTCCTATAGTAAAGGGGGGCCTCCACTGCTCATCACCCACCTCCACAGTGTATTCCCAGCACAGCAGCCAGGTGATCCCATCAAAACCGAAGTCAGGCGATGTGACTCCTCTGCCCAAAGCCTCCAAAGGCCCCTCATGAACCCAGACAACAAATGGGTCCAGGCTGCCTGTCACTCCTTAGGCCAATTAAGCAGAGACAGTGTTGAATCGTATATGAGCATTTATTCCAATAATGTGGACAGTATGGGAGAGCAGCAGGCCATCCGTGAAAAATCTGTTCGAACACCTCCTACTAACTGGCTGATTATATAGGGACTAGATAATCATGCATTTGGGCGGGGGGGGGGGGGGGGGGGTATCCCTAGGTGACAGGGCCAATCAGGTTCCCGCCTCCTCACTTCCTCCTTCCCTCACTGCCTGAGTCCACTGCCACCCACCAATACCTCACCCCTGTTCCCTTTCCCAGCCCTGATCAGGTAATCTGGACCTGCCTGCCAGAGAGGGGCACGAGGGGAGGGGAGAGAGAGAGGGGGTGAGGGAGGGGGGAGACATCAGCAATTGGGGCCTGTGGGCTGGAGCAGCTTCCACACTGTGTGTCTGCCCCCTGGTGGTCAATGTGCATCATAGCAACCACCAGTTTTTCAGGTCGTTTCATTGTAAAGATCATTTAGGCTTTTATATATCGATACTAGAGGCCCAGTGCTGCATGAAAGGGGGGGGGGGGGGGGGTCTGACCCCAGGGTCTGTGGTCCCTGTGTCTCTTTCCAGAATCTTGAAGTCTGATAACAAGGTAGTTAACTTACAATAGTGTTAAAACCCAGCCTGCCAGCCAGGACCCAAGAATAGTCAGCATTCCTGAGGCAAACTCCCTAAGGGGTGTCAGAGTCTAGGCACAGCTACCA